CTGTCGACCCGCGCCAGCGCCCAACGTGCTACGCCTGAGTCCAAGCTTACCCCAGCGTCCGTGCCTGTAGCGCCCCACTTTGATTTAAATGAAAAATCCATGGCTTTTCAGAAAAATCAACTTAAATTTTTCAAAATTCATTTCAAACGTTTGTGGCATTACTCATTTGTTTCAAGATCTTTTTTCATGACATAACATCAAATCATAACATAATTCATCAATCATAAAATTCAACTCCCATAAAGGGTTCATCCATAATCATCCATCACCCAAATCGGGTTATCAAAATCATCACAGTGTTCACGGGACATCTCCCCAACATTATTTCAAATCGTAATATTCTCGAGTTCATAAATTCATAAATCAGTTCATCATAGCAGAAGCAACAAATAAATAATCAGGTCATAAAGACCGACCACCACTCGCTCTACTCCGCCTTCATGCCTGCTGCCCTGCTCAACCTGAAATGTTAATTTTAGGTGGGAGTGAGCACATATAGAAACCATGGTGCTCACCACTATGCAATAAACAATAATCATAATATAAAATAGTACGGTCGCAACATGTATACAAATCATTTAGTTATCCCAATCTCCTATCCCAAGTTCGTTCTCATGTGCACACCTACGCATAGACTACTGTTGGTCCACGTATCGTATGCCTGCTTAGGCCTTACGTATCGTATGTCTGCTTCAGCCTTACGTATCATATGCCTGCTTAGGCCTTATGATGATGTCCTAACAGTAGGAGTCTCCCCCGACGACCGAGCGCGGCCCTGGTCTTCCAACGGGGTACTGATCGCCGACCGAGCACAACCCTAGTCTTAAGCGATGTGTCCTTCGCAAGGACATAAAGAGGAGATTACCCCAACGGGGTAGTTCTATAGCTACGTGGAAAAACCGTTCGACGGCCGGTACAGCTCACATTGAAGGCTACATGGTTCACATGCATACATTGATCATACCACAAACAAAACATGAACATAATTTATGGCATAGCAATTTTTAAATAAACCCACCTAGTCCGTCATTGACAACGCAAAAGTTCAAGGTAGGTTTGAGAGCTCGTCTCTTCGGGAACTTAAAATTATGAATATTTATTATTAAGGGTTTTGATTGGGTTGACTAGGCCACACAAACCAACAACTAAAACTCATTAAATAAAATGCACATAATAACAACTCATAAAATATACATAAAAAGTCTAGCAAAATAGGTAATCAAATAAAACCATACAACACACATGCTATAGCTTATAAATATTACTTAGACAGCATGAATAAAGCACTCTAAAGACCTCAACAAAACCAACCATATACACGGCTAGGAAAAAAACACCACATATATTCACATTTCTTTTATCCATTTTCTTATCTCATGCACAACTTAACACCAAATAAGGCAAAACCCACCCCAAGTCACTTGGGCTGTAAGGACCGACATAAAAGCCTACAATCACTTCTAATTTAGCAAGTTAAAATCACATAATATATATGCCTCAACAAAATAGGGTATACCTCGGCCAACATCACAAGAACATACAGGTGCCTAAATTTCCCTTTCTACCACATTTCATCCCTTTAACAATAAACTTAAGGTATAAAATTGAATAAGAAAACTATGGTACTAAAGCATTTTGACACAGTATAACTCAGCAATTTAAACCACCAAGACAACCAGGTACAAACCTTCACAGCAGAACATATAAAAATCATGCTTTCATCCTTTTCTTCATATTTCAATTAACACACCAAGGCCTTATAAGCTGAGTGAAACACCTCTGTAGTCACTTAATTAAATCATACTAACCATACAGCATAATAAGCTCAACAACATGGCAAAACACCAGGTTCAAGACACATCATATAACATAACCTATAACTTCCTCATTTATTTCAAACATTAAACCACTCATACATAAACATATTCTCATATACTCAGCATGCTGACATATGAATAAGATTTAACAAGATTAAGCTCATGAATAATAAATAACAAATAACAACATAAACATCACAGTAGTTGGCCTCAGATAAAATGTTAAAACAATCAAGGCAAAAACACACAACAAGCTTTCTATTCTCTTCTCTTTAAACCAACTAATCTCGGCAAAAAAATAAGGTAAAAAGCTCAGCCAAAGTACCTTGTTCGGGACTAAGAACAAGGACGAACAAACGGCTCGGGTCAAGACTAAAGCACTCGAAGACGGATCGGCTGGCTGTTGCTCTCAGCGTGGCGTGTGTGGATCTCCTCGGCAAGGTTCCAGATTGCGGCTTCGTCGACCGGGCTCGACTTAGGCTCGTGGCTGACCGAAAGGCTCGTGGTTGCGGTCTGTCGGGGTGTTACAGCTCGGTTCTAAAGAGTTCGATTTCTGGTCATCGAGGACTCGTCTCAGCCGCACGAGGGTCGGGTTCGGGTCTGCCGTTGCCGGAAATTGGAGTTCTTCAACCGCCAGAGCTCGTCGGGGCTCGCGAAGGTCGTTTCAGCCTCGAGTTAAGGGCTACTCCCACGTTCGAGGCCCGGTCTGCTGCTCTTGCCGGAATATCTGGTGGCTCTCGTTTCGATAACAAACGGCCGCCCTTGGTTGTTCCTCTGTCAGGTCGCTCGTCAGCCTCGCAAGAAATCACCTCATCGTGAATGGCTCGGTCCTCAGAAGTCAATTCCCGCCGCGGCTACTTTCCCCCTGTCGCGCATTCATCTCGCCGTCGAGAGTCTGGACTGAATCGCCACTGGAGATTAGGGCTCAAAATATTAAAATAAACTTAATGAAAAATAACATTTAAAAGACAATTTACTAATACATCCTCACTTCTATCTTCTTCCAACTTTCCAAACAAAAAAATTCAAACGTACTCTTTCTTTTCTCTCTTCAAAATTCAGACGCTGGCCCTCTCTCTCTGCGTGCCCTATTTTCACGATTCCTCTGTGGCCATCGTCTTCTTCCTCGCAGTCACCGCCAACGAGCACCCTTTCATCTTGTTGGAAACAAAACCATAGGTATGGATTTTTTTTATGCTTTTGTTTATAATTTTCATTGAAATAGATCTTGTGATTTTCCTTGAAATAGATCCCATTTAATTAACTATCCATAGCTTTAATTGTTTGAGTAAACTTTTGCAATATTGATGTGTATTTACCTATTCAATTGATCCATTGGGGGTGAAAAGTAAAAACCGAAATTCATACTGAATGCTCTTTCCAATGTTTTGCGTAGGCTATTGCTAGCTGCTAGAATCCTGATGGAAAATCATGTTCAGTCTGAGGAGAATTTAGTATTTTTGATTGGTCCGTGACAGGGAAGAATCTGAAGGAAGGGAAATTGATTGTTCAACAATGAAGATTCGGGAGCTGGCCGAATGGCATTGTGTCGACGGTATGTGTAGCCGTACGCAAAGTTGTTAAATATTTGACTATGAACTTTAATGATTGCTCTTTTAGACCGGCAATGTTTTCACTGTGTTTGCTTGTCTTATAATGGCGTGTTTGAATATTTTAATTTGTTGAAAGATTGCTCTTTTAATTTGAAACTGTGTTGCTTTTATGTGTTTGTGTCATAATGGTGTTCTTGAGTTGTTGAATGTGCAAGTGTAGGTGACATAAGATATGATGTGCTGGGCTTATTTAGATAATTTCAACACATTTTGATACTTTAGGCTTTCGGTTATTGGCTTATAGCTTGTGAGTGCTTGAATGTATTTGCGAAGATTTGTGAATTACATTCCCTTGAGTTGTGTGTTTGGGTTAACGAACAATACTGGTCTAGTTCAGTTGAATAATTAGCCTAACACTAGATTCGTTTGGGTCAAATTTTCTGTCTTATAACACTAGATTCGTTTGGGTTAAAGAAGCTCGATATAGAATAAAGAATCGTTTTATTAGTATCCTTTAGAAATGAGTTAACTTATAAATTTAACGAGTAAAATATCGCCATAATGTATTATATTGTGAATGTATAAGTGTATTTAATTGACTGAGATAAAAATATAACTATAATGAAGATTCATTTATTATGGTTGTATGTCTTTGTTTAATGTATTAATTTTTTATGTAGTGCCGAAATTGATTTGTCCTTTGGTGGTCCAGCACGTAAAGATTTTTTTAATAAACTTGTGAACGATGGATGACTTACAAGTTAGGTAAACTATTTACAAAAAGTTATTCAATATTTTACCTTTGAAAAATATGGCATTCACTAATCTAATAAACACTATACTCTTAGGATGTAGATAAAGCGCTTTTTCACATTCGAGAGCGTGCTAAACAGTACCATCTCTTGTTTAGACAAGATTGTGCTGTCTTGGACACGTTTTTTGCCTCGTACGTGAGAAACTTCTTCAATGAGATGTCAAAGACTAAAATATTTCCGAAGGCCTTGAGTAGATACGCCACACCACAGGGGAGATACCCAAAAATGGAAAGCGGTGGACTGATTGTACGAAATTGTATGTTCCTTTCTGTAAAGAGGGCAATAGCCACTGGCTCGCACTGGAGATTGATCTATTCCAGAGATGCATTTACGTCTATGATAGCGAAACAAGTGTCATGCGGAGGGCACAACTGGAGAGGCAACTTGAGCCCATTCGAGTTGTGGTACCGATGCTACTGACGAAGTTGAATGCTAACTACAATGCTGAAAAGTTTGATTGGAAATGGTTGACATCTCCTAGCCAAAGCAATGGGTACATATAATATATATTTTGATCATATTAGGTTCTTAAGTGTATTATGAAACTTGGTAAAGTAATAGAATTTGTACATTTATGTTGCAGGTTTGATTGTGGGATGTTTACAATCAAGTTTATAGAATTTTTGCATGCTGGGAAGAATGTTGAAGGCGTAGATCGATCTCGGATCAGTGCTTGGCGTGTAAAACTAGCGGCTGAAATATTTGGTGCTCATTTTGATCCATAGTTTGTTTTAAACATTCAATATGTAACGGGTTGTAGGGATCTTTTGGATAATACATTTTTGTATTATATTTCATGTGCTTTTCAATGCAATGATGCGGGTGGTCGAAATATTGAAGTTGTATTTTTTACGTACTTCCCAATGCAATGGTTATAATAGTATTTTATCAAAATGGTTAAAAATATTACTGTAACGAGAAGTTTTAATGTAATAAATAACGAAGGGGTTCGATGCCGAGCTCCCGAAAATAAGTCGACTAACCGATTAGAAGTCGTTTAAAAAATAACAAATGTACAGTCTTTATTTTGAAAAAAAAAATAAAACTTGCTTGTCGCTGGCGCGACGTCCGTCGCGGCCGCGACGTCCTGGCAACCTTCTCTGTCCGACCAAGAACAGGGCCCAGTGTCACGCCCGCGACACATGTCGCGACCGTGACATATAGTCGTTTCAATATAACGATTGTATAATCGTTATTTTGTATGAAATAACGAATGTGCATTCGTTATTGTGAAAAAAAAAAAAAACTTTCTTGTCGCGGGCGCGACGTCCTGGCAACCTTCTCTGTCCGACCAAGAACAGGGCCTAGTGTCGCTCCCGCGATACATGTCGCGGCCGAGACATATAGTCGTTTCAATATAACGATTGTACAATCGTTATTTTGTATGAAATAACAAATCTACATCGTTATTTA